ACATAAACAACTCAAAGTAAATATTAAGAAACATTCAAAACAACAAATCGAGCAATGTTACCCCTCCAGATGCCACACTGGAGGAACCACCTTCCATGAGGCTTAGTGGCTCGGGTTTATATTCAATTTTCTGAATGATATCACCAGACCAGACCTGCGAAACTTTATAGATATCTGCTGCATCTGAGCTAGTAGTTGTTCCAAAACAGAAAGACTTTCCCTCTACAGCAAGAATAGCTTCTGGTAAAAGCTCGGGATTTTCACTCTGTAAAAACGAAAATATAATAGTTAAACCGCATGTGTAATATGAAAATAATATAACCAACCATAATGTAACTTACCTCCTCATATGAACCATCCCATAGATCTACAGCTCCACAACCAACGATGCTTTTAGCAACAATCTCAAGCATCATTAGTTTACATGTTCCAGAGTCATCTTCAGCAATCATATGAAGTTTGAATCTAAAATGTTACATATAAATAAGGTTAAAGACAAAATACATATGGATGCAAAACCAAGATTAAGAAAGTGAAACAAACTTACTTTGGTTCAACATTAGTAACATTGCAACGACACTTACGACAAGAAAATAAGGGTCTGTCTGTTTTGTTACCCTTTCCAGTTATTCTAGTGGTACCATGGAAACATCTCTTACATGCAAAATAGAACCAAGCCAGACTGTATAAATAGCCTTAATTGAACAGATGATCTTAGTCTTCTCTAGATACAGAATTTAAAAGCATTTATCAATTAAAAAACATATGTTCGAATTGGATGATCTCAATTTATATACGATACAGAATATCTTTTTGAGATAACCTCAATGTCATCATCAAGTTCAGAGATCCTTGTGATCCCAATATCATTCCAATCATCTGCAACATTTATGATTTCTCTTTTTTCATCCTTCTTGCTAACGATAGCAAGAGGTAGAGAATCATGTTATAGGCTGAAATTATATAAGCTTTTGTAAGTAATACTTAGATAACAACAATCATTAAATTTATATAAATCATAAAATATAAATTTACCTTTTTCTGAATTCCACAGCCTCAGCAACTGTTGGGTTCATATCCAAGAGGGATGCATAAAATGCATTAGTAATTTGAATCACACCTAATATATCAACAAACACATAATTAGCATATCTCTATTATACAAAATAATATATAGTTAAAATGATATATTACCTCGAAAAGTGTTGATTTTGGCAAACCTTAATAACCAAACTGTATTTGTAAAATCTGCTTCATGTAGAGCATTTTCGACTTGCTCAGCATAAGATCCCCAAAGACAAAAAAGCCAAATTGTTACCACTGACAAAAAAGATTATAAAAGTCATCACCTTATCACATAAGTAAATACTCTATTTGAGTCAACATTATAGGTCAGGTACCTGAGGTCTCTCATGCGAAACTGGACTCTCTTTTGGTCCTCATCTTTGACTTGAATTATTTGAACATCAGAAAATTCATAAGGTTGAGCAATAATGTCTAAGATACATCAAAGAAACATTTTTGTTAGTTAATACATCAATTAAACATGAAGCTTATAATATGAGAAAAATATTAAAAAAACATACCAATGAGAATGTTAACATCTTGACTTCCCTTTGAAATTTTATCATAATCAGCTAAAGTCAAAAATATGTTATCATCATGATGGTCGGATCGGCTGTAAACTGTTTCACCGGTGATAGTCATCTTATATTGATTATTTGTTGGTCGGAATTTCCCTTTACCCACACCGGATACCTTAAAGTTTTCAATCACAGACCACTCACCAATACGAAGGTTACGCTCAGTTCAAAACATGTGTGATCTGCTGCATGACGCATGGATTTTAACACCCTGAAAAGAAAAGAAAAAATTGATTAGAAACTCAAAGTATAAACAACATTTAAACTAAGGGGTAGAACTTACAGTCTCATCAGCCAAAACCATTTCGAGTGTTTGATCATTAGCATAGGGAGGGGTTAATTTCCATGACTGAATCAGCTTTATCTGCACACGCGACTTACTGCACCTTGGCTTGACATTGTTTAGCAAAGTAATACTTTTGTTTGTCGACATTAGAAACTTCAAGGAGCAAAGAAAATATATGCTTAGGAACTGTTGAGGTGATTTAGAATATTAATGCAGTGTAAACTATATATACAACGTGAACCTAAAACCCTAATAAAGAGAATATACCTAAACATATTGTCCAGAGAAAATCTCGTTATTTAATACCATATCATATATAGTTTCCAAAATATAGTCTTCTATACATAAACACATGCAATTGATTGGAGAGTAAATATTCAAAAATATCCTATAATTACTGTTCGACTCTTCCGCAAGCCAAGGAAATAATAATAGATATGCTATAAATTTATTTAATTTATTATTCAACTAATTTTAGAAGTTTGCGAGAATATATGATACAGTTTCCAATTTGTATATGTATGTTTAATATTTCAGAGTGATTATACGTGAGAACTTATTGTCAGCAAAGATTTTCGGTTGGAATATTCCGCAAGCCAAGATTTTCTGTTGAACTTATTGATACAGTTTCCGTTTGTTATATGTGTGTTTAATATTTGAGTGATTATATGTTAGAACTTATTGTCAGCAAAGATTTTCTGTTTAGATATTGATTTCATTGATTTGGCTAACGAAAAAAAACTATATAATAACTTTCTTGTATATTATTAATTTGGTTCGGCTTCCTTATTAATTTGGTTCATATGATTTTAGTTGTTTGTAAAAAACTTATGAATCATCCATTGGTATATAAAGAGGTTTACCAAGCTGTACGTGAAGATGTGTGGAGAAGAAAGTTCTTAATAATATTACTCTTGATGATATTTGATTAATAGAAGTGCAGGTGGATGAGAATGGTTTTATAACTGGAAGATGAAGTTTACGTAAATTTCGTTTTTGATACATATATATGATTATGATTAAGGAAGTGAAGTTGTTGTTTCCATTTTTGAAGGGAGAATCAGACAGACAAAACATGCATTTAATTATCGGAAAAGACAAAGCATTGTTTTAGGAATGATAAAAATAGTTTCAGTGGCATTCCATTCTAAATAACACTGAAAACTAAGAGACATTTCAATAGGGTACTTCTATTTTAATAATAAAGATATGATACATGCACCTATGATGTTTTTATAATATGGTGTATTTTTCACTAACTTTATATATATATATATATATGTGTGTGTGTGTGGATCAACAAGATGTCTACTCATCCTATATGAAATTGCTATTCGAATTTTAGAATGTAGTACGCAAATTAGATATATGTTATTATATTAAACAATCCAACTTAAGATGTATATACGTTTAATATCTACGTCGTTAAATACATGTGGTGTATAGGGTTCACACTCTTATCATCAGTTGGAGTAGCGGTTCTGGGTACAAGCAAATGAAATATGTGTTTTGGGCCTATTTTGAATATGTAATAATTTGATCTTATTTTGAATAAATATCTTTAGTAGCGTAGATGGTTTTCTTGTTAGGGTTTATACGTTTGTGTTGCTGAGTTCGAATACGTTAGTTTTTTTTTTTTTTTGCTTTTTGCCCAATTTATATCAGGCCCGGTCCTGAGTTACAAATGTCATGGTTCTTTAGCACGATCCCAAACCGTAAAAGAATTATCTATTAGTAATATATATGGAATGGAAACACTCTGGACATGTGGTTGGTGACGTCGTCACCTACTTCCACTCAGTTGACAAACCACATACGAGACAATTCCATCAAATCATATCCGAGATAATTACTTCATTCGTTATCCTATTTAGATGAGCATAAACTTAATTGTGGCTGGATTTTGAATATTTGAATATCAGGCTCATTTACCCTTGGATCATCAGTATCAATGATTTTTCAACATAAAACCCTTACATCTTATATTGGTACTTAGTTTTGTTTCCTCCAAAAACTAAAAATTATGTTAAAGTTCTTACATGAAAGATTTTGACATGAGTACTCTCACTAATATTAATATAATTTATCTTTATACCGTGAGAGATTTCACCTTGAGAAATCTCTAATATGGATTTTTAGTCCAACCATTTGTCCCTGAATTCGAAATCTGAGCCAAAGGTACATGAATTGTTACCGATCCAAAATACATGAACAAATCTTATAAGAATGATATTTCAGCTATCAAATATTATCTAAATTCGGCTTTAATTCGAACATGTACCAAAAAATCAGATTTGAAGATTTAAATTTGCATATGAAATGGATAATTCAAAACTCAAATAAGTACCTAAAATATTTATCTTCATATTTGGTCGTAAAAATATATAAATAAAAACAACTATTAAACAAATGAAAAATTAGTAAGGATCCAAAATTAATATTATAAAAATTAATAAAAGTTACATGAATCTAAGATATTATTAACCAAACTGATCTCAACATATATAAAACCTAAATAAGGTTTAGAAAGTTGAATCTGAAAACAGAAAAACCTCAAATTAAACTTGAACTGGTACCGAACTTCATAGATCTCTTTTTACATATTATTTTGTTTGACAAAAATTAATTTTTTTGGAAAATAATTGTTTCATAAAGATGATTTTTGTGTTTTCTATAAATCTTTGTAATTTAATAAATAGTAATTTTATACAAATTATAATTTTTTTATTGATTTAATTTATTAAAATTGATATTCACAGAAAGTAATGTACTTACAATTTAATATGTTTTTTTATATGAAAAAGAATTATATTTGTGGAAGCGTATAAAGTTTTGTTTGTTAATGATTCGTAGAAATGATGGGCCGTGAGTGGATGACTTGTTTAAAGACCGTTGACGCAAAAAGGCGTGCCGATTCCACGCGCTCACCACCAAACACTCTTAATAAAATTTCATAAAATCAAGTCGTCTCTTTCACAACTCAGATCAATTCACCACGATCCATCGCTTTCTTCATAAACCTTCCTTCCTTCATTCCCACATTTCCCGGAAATTAAAAAAAGCTAGAGAAAATGCATGATTTCTGCTTCACAATCCCCTACGGGATGCTCCTAATCGGCGGTGGGTTCATCGGGTACATGAAGAAAGGAAGTATTACGTCTTTCGCCGGAGGTGCTGGCACTGGCTTATTACTCATCCTCGCTGGATATCTAAGTCTCAAGGCTTTCGAGAAGAAGAAGACTTCCTCTATCGCTGTTATTCTTCAGACAGGTTCTTCTTTTGTCTCTCTCTCTCTTCATGTTTCGAACCCTTTTGTCTGTTTCATATGATTTTGATTGTTTGACTTGTCAATTACGGAACGAACTGTTTGATTTGGTTTCTTATCTTAATTTTACGATCTGGATCTGAAAAATTGTAATTCGGCTACATGATGATCTTATCTAAGAGAACCTTTTGCCAAGGGAGTTATCATGAATTTTGAGTTAGTTGGAACTAATATTTCTATTTGAAAAAATAAAAGTTTTGAGCTGATTACTTCAAGAAAATAAAAATTTTAGCCAGGTGCATGTGACCTTTTAGTAGCCACTGCATGTGATGATGCTAGACTTGATTAACACCAAAGTTTTGCTGTGTTTAGATCTTCAAATGTAGCAATATTTAAATCTGTTTGTTAGTTTTTTTTGTTCCATTAACGTAGTGTTGTCTCTCTTCAAACAATCTGCAAATGAATATTCAAATGTAAAACTTTAAGGATATATTCGGTTACAAGAATAAGAATAATCGAAGGGGCCTTATCTTGTTAATTCTTGCTATTCATTGACACTGCAACCGTCTCAAAGAACATTACAAATAATACTGAAACTAATCTGAATGTTTTTTTTTTTTAATACAGTAATCGCAGCTGCTCTCACACTAGTCATGGGACAGCGTTACTTCCTCACTCAAAAGATTATGCCCGCTGGTTTGGTTGCTGGAATCAGGTAAAGGAAGTTTTGATTGTTATTTCTCTTTGTTTGCATCCAAGAGTTGGTGTTTTTAGAGATTCTACTCCATTGACTTCTAACCATTAGAACCATATCTGTATTGCAGTGCTCTCATGACCTCTTTTTACGTATACAAGATCGCTACTGGTGGCAATAAAATCTCATTAAAAGCTGCTGAGTGATGATGGTTATGCAAATCTGGTGTTATTCGTGGATGCAGATTATACTCTCCATTGTTAAACTTGTCGATTAGAAATCTCTTGTGTGTTTCTGAGATTAGTTTGTATGAGTTGAAGAACTTTCATGTTGTCTTGTGTGTGTTTCTGAGAACAGTTTCTTGTCATCTGTTACCCACAAATTTTTTGTGGCCATGATTTATATGAAGATATCTTGTCATTTGCAACAAATTAGAAATCTTGAACTGATTTTAATCATTCTTAAAAGCATTCACTGATTAAACAGGAGACAGGCTATGCAAGGGAAACTAAAGCTACAGCTTCCATCAGTGGAGGTAACACGGTTTCAGAAAATGTTCTTTTCAGATGCTGTAAGATTCTTTAACCAGATTGACAAGTTGGTCACTCGTTAGGTAAGTTCTTTGGTCCTATTTTCCACAAAAAACGGCATAATTCTCACAAATTTAGAAACAAAGTGGAGTTAATGCTACTGCAGAATCTGATTACCGTTTCTAGCTAAAGTTTCTATTCTAAGAACATAGTAGTTTGTGTACATTATTGCTGAACGTTGAGCCCAAAAAACAAACATTATTGCTAATCATCTCATGGCCACACTTAAATTCACTTCTTGTTCACTCCCATCTTCATCAGAACCAAACACTAAAAAACAGTCTTCATCAGCATGGTATTCCCTAGAATGTTTTTCCTGATTCTGATCTTACACATTGTTTCAGCAAGTTCTTGGCAGACATTGAGTGGTTAGACACTGAGAGTTACTTTCATTTTTTTAAACATGATTTGTCATGATGTATTTACACTTTCTTGTTTTGGCAGGGACACCTCCGGTTGTGATTGCTAGAGGCGGGTTCTCTGGTGTGTTTCCAGATTCAAGTAGTAAAGCATCTGAGCTGGTAAGTGTGACAACTTCACTAGACGTAGCTCTTTGGTGTTATCTTCAACTAACAAAGGATGGTGTCGGAATCTGCTTCCCTAATCTGAATCTCTACAACCAGGGTCCTATTCAAATTATATTATGGTCCTCTCCAAAAAAAAGTTAACTATATATTTAATGATGTAATAAAAATAATTTTAAAGTTAATATCTTTATATATATATATATATATATATTTGTAGTTTTCTTCAAATTATAAACTATAAATTTAAAAAGAATGTATAAAAGTTTGATATTTTAAACCATATGTATCTACTCTATTAAAATAGAGTCATTTAAATTTGGACTCTTTCTAGAATGTTACAACTTTTATCTACTGATATAAGTTGTCATTTAAATTTGGACTCTTTCTAGAATGTTACATATAATACAAGTCATATAGTTGATTGAACCACATTACTTAAATTGAACCGGCAGTTATTTATGCAATAGAGTTTTGGACTTACTTTTGTATTTATGACAAATTATATAGTTTGAGTTTTGGGCTTAATATTAAAGAGAAACTCCAAAAAAACATTGAATAAATGTTCTACCTTAATTGATCAAAAAATCAATTACTATTTTAAGGCCCAAAAGTATTTAATATTTTAAGAAAACAAAATTATATATTATTAATCACTTATTTAAATCATGTACTTTAAAATATGTTAATATTTTTTTATTTTAAATAACAATCACTCTGTCTTGATAAATTTCAATGGTAACTTTGATAATAGTTTTTTTTCTCTTAAATAATTTACTGTTTAAAAAAAAAAAGTAAAGCAAAACTAAAAACCAAAACCAAAAACTGAAAAAACGCATGTTATATTTTTTCTTTTGTTTTGTTTATTTACAAATAAACTATTGCCATTTTTTAAAATAAAAATTGTAATCTTTTCAGTTTTATATTAGGTGTTCGATTTTTGGGATTTGTTTGTTGGTAATTATGAGTTCAAACTAACTCAGCGGATCTAAAAGCTAAATACTCAAACCAAAAGCTGAAAATCAAAACTGGAAACTTAAAAATTAAAAACCAAAAACCAAAATCTAAAACCCAATCTAAAAATAAAAACTAAAACTAAAAACTAATGCAAAACAATCATCATCACAAATTTTGGATTACTGATTTTATACCAAAACATACTTTAAATAAAGACAAAACCTAATTATATAAATTTTTAATCAAAAAAAATTTCCGCGCTTTCAAGCGCGGGTCAAAATCTAGTTTATTTTAAAAAAAAAATCTTAATTTTTATTTTTAAATTTGGACCCTGTTCGACCGCTCCAGAAGAACATGCTGTTAGACGGCCCTGCTACAACGATTCTGATGTTAATGTGGTTTACCCGAATAAGAAAGAACGGTTCTCAGTCGATTTCACATGGAAAGATCTCTCTGATGTGAACTGTAAGTGTACTTACTACCTTGTTTCATTTGAACCCTCTTCTTTCCCCAGTGAAGCTTTCTGACACTAACTCTAGTTTCTCCTTCAAACAATAGTCCAGAATGTTAGATCACGATCATATCTACCAGCTTTGACTGCTGAAAATTTAGCAGAACTAGGAGTTCCAGGCATCTGGTTAAATATTGACCTGCCTAGCTATAAACCATCCCCAACTCATCTTTATTTTATTTTATAATTGGATTTTTTAAAAATAAAGATGTGTTGGGGTCAAAATCGGTTACGAAAAAATCAACGATCAAAATTTTCAGCGTAGTTAAGAATAAGTTTTAGAAATACAAAAAAAAACGTCAAGAAGAATTCTAAGAACTTTCCGAACAAAGGAATTCCGCAAACTTTACAATCGTCATCTTGGAGATCATCGGAAAATCTGCTATTGTCCAAACGTCCAAAGTCCCCAAAACGATGATCTCGGAATCAAACGTCTGCGATTACTTCTCCAGACATTCTCCAAGAAGATCTCGGGTCAAGGAAAGCGAGAAACAATCAAGATCGAACAACCAACCAGCTCGCCACCAGGCGAGCTGACCATCCTTGACCAGCTCGCCAACAGGCGAGCTGGCCATCCCTGACGAGCTCGCCTGTTGGCGAGCTGAACCAAACCATCTATTACCCCTCGACTCGATCATATTCTGAACCGTGATCGGAACATCTCTCGTTTCGTCTCAATCCGTCTTACCGTTGAAGTTTTACGATAAAAACCGTAAAAGGTTTGTTTTCTTGTAAAACCTCGAGTAAATCGTATAAAACGACAACAGTTAAACGAAACACCGAACATTGCCAAACTATACTATTAACTCGAGATATTTTATAAAAAACTGCCAAAGACTTTTTTTCTCGTAAAACCTCGAGTAAATCATATAAAACGGCAACGGTTAAACGAAACACCGGACATTGCCAAACTATACGATTGACTCGAGATGTTTTATAAAAATAGCATTGTATCAGAAAACGATTTCATCTAAAGTCGTAAAACGGCTAAATTGCAAAACAGCTCGGAAATTCCTAAAATGCGATAAAGGCCTACTCACGACTTTAGACAAGATTCAACGCAAAGATATAAATAAAAAATTTTTCGAGAAAATCAATAAAAGTTTCCTCTTGCGGTTAGAACCATGGCGTTCTTGTTGGCTTATCTATCTCGGTTCAGTGTAATTAAGTGCTTGTACGTGATTTCAACTGCAGTATCTGCCAGCATAATCTATGAAATACAATGTTTAATATATATCATTCTTCTTTTAAGTTTTTTTTGTAAGATATCTGAAATATTCAAATTTAGAAGAGGATATTAATAGGAATATGGAAAATGGATAAACATATCTATAAATCCCACAAAACCAAATATAGTTTTATTTGATCTTAATTCTCTTCCAACGGATTTTTCACCAAAAATTACCATTCTATTTCTCTTTTTTTCCAAGAGAAAGTAAACATACAAAAACAATCAAACAAACATAAGGATGGGTTCTTAGTACCAAAATTGATTTCTCATATTATTTTTTTTTGTTCCTTCTTCTTTTGAGGCCAAAAGAGACCAGATTCATTTTTGGTTTCTTCAAAGGCCAAACCTTTTTTTCTCAGCAAACCTTTTTGCCATCTTACACAAAAAGAAAAAAAAAACATCTTGTTCGTCTGAGAATTATCTCTATCCTTTTTGGATTTGAGGTTCAAGAACATTCATGAACTTCAAGTTATCTATCATCTTCTTGTAGTAATAATCCAGGAAGGTACATATAAAGGCATACATTACAAAATGAAAATGAATTGCTTGTTCTGTTGTATGTCCGAGAGAAAATTTACCAGACGATCATCATCAAGACAAAGCATCAGAAACTGCATTGATGCAAACAACACTCTTTCTCGATTTGACAACATCACTTATAAAACAGGTCCCAATTTTTTTTTAATCATATTTATAAATATATATTATCAGATTTTGTAAAGCTTTTCTATCTAAAACAAGCTGACATATACTTGTAGATAGTAGTAGGCGAAGATACATATCAGAGGAGATATCAAAACTCGGGAAAGGGAGCATAAGTGCTCAGATCTTTACATTCCAAGAACTCTGCGCCGCCACCAAGAACTTTAACCCTGAGAATCAGCTAGGTGAAGGTGGTTTCGGAAGGGTCTACAAAGGGCACATAGAAACTCCAGAAAAGGTATACTTCCATTATTCCTGACACATGGCCGGCATAGACATTTCTTAAAGAACTTTCATTAAAAAGTCAAAATTTTGGGGTCTATAACTATGTAAAAAACCTCTAAAATTTTTGGTGGCAGAAAGTCAGAAACTAATGTTTCATAGGGCTATGCCCAGATCCGGCTCTGCCCTGACAACATCTCCTTCGTATTCTTGTTCAGCGGTTTGATTATTTATGATTCTTGCATGTATTATCTAGGTAGTTGCGGTTAAGCAGCTAGACAGAAATGGCTACCAAGGGAACAGAGAGTTTCTTGTGGAAGTCATGATGCTGAGTCTCTTACATCATCAAAACCTTGTCAACTTGGTTGGATATTGCGTAGACGGTGATCAACGGATTCTTGTCTATGAATATATGCCAAATGGCTCATTAGATGATCATCTTCTAGGTATTATTTTTTTATTTTTTATTTATTTGTTTTAGTAATCGAATATCATGACCAATCAAAGTGTTCCAGACTAGAGACTGAGCATTATATATTGAGTAGACGAGTATTATAATAATATATTGCGTAGACGGTGACCAACGGATTCTTGTCTATGAATATATACATCTTAACATTACAAAACATCATTATCTATAGTCTTTCTTTATTAAATTACCTTTTGTTATTTCAGACTTGGAGCTGACCAAGAGGAAACCGTTGGATTGGGACACAAGGATGAAAGTGGCAGCAGGAGCAGCGAGAGGGCTTGAGTATCTACACGAAACAGCTGATCCTCCTGTGGTCTACAGAGATTTCAAGGCCTCCAACATATTGCTTGACCAAGAATTCAACCCAAAGCTTTCGGATTTTGGTTTAGCTAAAGTTGGTCCGACCGGTGGACAGACTCACGTGTCGACGAGAGTGATGGGGACATACGGTTACTGTGCCCCTGAGTATGCTCTCACGGGACAGCTCACTATGAAATCCGATGTGTACAGCTTTGGAGTCGTGTTCTTGGAGATGATCACTGGGAGAAGAGTCATTGACACGACCAAACCAACTCGAGAACAGAATCTAGTGACTTGGGTAACAAACAAAGCAAATAAATCTTCAATATCTCTCATTTGTTGGTGATTTCTTGATTTGGGGTTTCTGAAAATGTGCAGGCTAGTCCGTTGTTTAAAGATAGGAGAAAGTTCACGTTAATGGCGGATCCGTTGCTTGAAGGGAAGTATCCAATAAAGGGACTGTATCAAGCGCTTGCGGTTGCAGCAATGTGTCTACAAGAAGAAGCAGAAACGAGACCTATGATGAGCGATGTAGTCACCGCGCTCGAGTACTTAGCTATGACTAAAGGAGAAGAAGATGGAGAAACGAGTAAATAAAACAGATAACAACAACAGAGAATAAGAAGACGAAAAAACTAAGCTTCAAGCATATTTTTTAATTTGTAAATTTAATGATCGGTTTTAGGAGTTTTGAGGACCTTTTGAAAAGAAAAAAAAATATCAAAGAATGAAGATTAATTATTTAAAGTGAGTTTTTTTTTTTCAATTTCCCCCCGTAGCAGTTTCAAGTTTCAGACTTCTACACACAGATTCTTCACGTAACCACTTTTAGGATCAAGGCAAATGATTGCATACATAATATATGAATGGGGTACTCTTGTGGAAACAGGTTCATGATGAAAATAACCAGGTGAGTCAAGAGCAAGAACATAATCACAGTCGATTTTTCTACCCAAAAATCTCAGTTCTGGCTCGATGTGTTGTTACTTTTACAAATTGTTCCAACGCCTAAAGGAGCTGCAACTTTAAAGTAAAGATTCCTTTTTCTCTTCGCAAAATGGTTACCTTACAAAACCAAAAACAGAAATTAAAATCTCTTTTGAATTCAACATTCCATCATATCTAAATGTTATAAACAAAATATCAAAGATTGTCACCAGCACAAGTGGATAAACTAATCCAAGAAAGGCAGAAACGAAGCAGCTCAACTATCCTCTTAAAACACGATTCTTTGCTGCTTGATTCTGCAGAACCATTCAATCTGTAGAACCCTCGTGCAATAGTACGTACTCTCGGCTGCAACCAAAAGAACAGAATACGTCAAAGACATTGTCATAAAAACGAGAAAGTAGATGCCACGCAACACTCTGTTTACCAAAAACAGTATCCACAAACAAGTAAACATTGATTTAAAAAAATGAAAATAGACACGATCCTTATTCATAACTAAAAGGCGAAAAACCCGCATTGATCTTCAGTAGCATACCTGCTGTTACCAAACTTGATGGTATCTTTCTCGCGAAGCTCATAGTAGCGTTGTGATTCAACAGGTTCTTTCTGAAAAGAGCAAAAAAAAAAGTTCACTACAAACATTTGACAAAGAAATAATCAAAGAAGTAATGCGATTCAGCACTCACATTGATGTAAGTCTTGTTGGTGCTGCCAAGATCCATAAGGTAAGGCCTGCAAGGGGAATTAATTATACCTTAAAGCCAGAAAATTTGCAAAATTTCAAGCAAAATGAAAGAGCACAGAGAATTTTTTTTACTTCACTTGCTTCTCCACCATACCATCTGGTTTCTCCACTGTCACTTCCCTGAGACGAGAACATTCACGGTGACATTAATATTTAACCTAACCCCTCGTCTAACTAGATCCATGTTCATAAATTTTGCTATTCAAGGGTTGAAAAACAAGTCAGAAGATCTACCTGTACTGGATAACAGCATGCTGTTTGCTGCAAGAAGGGTGATCAGTGGGAATGTCAGCGATTCTTCTCTCACGTCCAAAGAGATAACAGCTTTGGCGATGGAGCTGGAGTGGCTCTGTTAATCAAACAAATATTACAAAATTGATTCACTGCATTGATAGTTGGACGAGAAACAAGGTGAATATGTGCATACATAGACACTAAACTGCACCTTCAAGAATGCAAACGAAAATAGACACCACAAACCAGTTACAAATTCATCACATCACTGAACAGTGAACAGCGCATAACTATAGTTACAGTGACAACTCTTAATCACTATTAGGTAGTACTTTGGCTACTATTGCTAATATGCTATCATCTTGATAATAAATCATCTTGATACTAAAGACAAAAGGACTATTACTTTGACAGATGCGGCGTGCATACACAATAACCCTTAGAAATGGAAAAATAGAAAGTTGAAAGACTCACCATCCAAAGGTTCGCTATCCTTGAAAACATAAAGTCTCCATCTTTTGTTAGGTTTTCTAGCCTCTGGTGGCTCATTGAAGAGGAGTGCGATACCTGCAAAGGGTTCAACAACTCAGGGACGCATGCCTATGATAATTTTAAGACGCTAAGCCTCTATCTATTTCCATTCATTCGAGCGGGATTTTCACCCACTAGAATATTTCCTGATACCAGATGCCATCTCATTAGCCATTAGCTATTGAACTACCATAATGCATATAAAATTGATTAAAAATCACCCTAACAACAATCATGATCACTGAGGCAGAAGTTGACATGACAAAGCAACGCTAACAATTGAAATTCCCAGATGGAAACATCACCTCTGTATTTGTTGGTTTCTTCCGCAAGTTTCCCTGATAGCTCAAACGATGGTTCTTCCTGCAAGATATAAACAAAGTTGGAACTAAAGCGTCAATACATGGATGAGCCAAGAGAGCATAAAACTACATTGGAAAATTTAAATTTAATAGATGCTTCATATCATATGACCACACCTTTTTCTTGGCTGCCAAAGCTTCTTCAGCAGCTTTCATTCTAGCAATCGAATCATCTTCACCATCGCTGTTAAAGAAAACCCCTAACATGGTTAAACAAAATACTGCAAAAAACTGTAAAGGTTAAATCTTTAAAGAAGAAAACTCACGGTTCCTCGCCACTCCCTCTTGCATTAGATCCCTGAAAAGATTAAAATGACTCAGGACAAAGACTTGTGACTCACCAAAAGTTAATGAAGGGTTTTGGTCAATGAATAGCAAGACATAAAAGTTATAAACGATAAAAGTATGCAAGAAAATATACCAGGAGAATTATCCAAACTTCAAAATCAACCAGTCTACAAAATGAGGTGTTACTGAACATGCTGAAGGGCACAAAAGAAACTATCTTAACTCACATTCAGCAAAAAAAGTCAAGCGATAGAAAGGCTAAATCACAGGATCCAAACTATATACTATGTGAAACATGAGAGCACCAGTAGCAAAATGCGACCTTTACTAGCATACACTAAAGCTAAACAATTTTCAACCATAGTAAAGCTAAAGAAAGTATACCTCATCATGCCTTGATGCTGAAGCTCTTTCTGGTGAACGCCTACTCCTATCTAACGGTGAAGTAGACCTCTCACGTCTTTTTCTAGTTAGCCTCTCATCGTCTCTTTTCCTTTCTACAGTCTCCTCTCTCCCTGAGCCTCCTCTTCTCTTATGATCTCCATTATCTCCTTCTCTTCTCCTTATCTTATCCCTTCCGCCTCTGCTGTCTTCTCTGTCTCTGCTTCTCCCAACCTCCCTTTCCCTTTCACCTTGAGCTCTTCTCAGTCTCTTAGTCCGTGGTGAAGGAGACCTAGAAGATTCATCTCTTCTCCGTCGAGGAGACTGCCTCTGCCTCACCGGAGACTCTGAAGCCATTCTCTTCTTTTGCCTTCTGCAAGGACCGCAAAGACCGTCAGAATTCGCGAAACCCTAATTCGTAAATTCCCAAAAGCACACCCTAAATTTGAAACGTGAGCTTGCAGATTCGGTTAAATTAGGGCTTTGAGAATCTGGGACGTGAGAGAAAGAGGGGTGAAGCTTGATTTACCTGGTGGCCGGAACTGCGGCGGAGAGCAGAGAGCAGAGAGAGGAGAGAGTGAATAGATAATAGAACAAAGAAGAATACAAAATCAGAATAAAGGGATGTCTATTGCAAATAAAAGAAGCTTTAGGGGTTCAATATCGAAATTGCAGTTTTGTGAGGTCTCGACCTGAGAATACCACTTGCGGTTTTTTTTTTGAATTTTATTTGTCTACATATGTTAGTAAAATATATTTATTTTTCAATTCATTTATTCCCAAAAATCAAAAATCAAAAATCAAAAATCAAAAATCAAAAATCAAAAATCAAAAATCAAAAATCAAAAATCAAAAATCAAAAATCAAAAATCAAAAATCAAAAATCGAAAATCAAAAATCGAAAATCAAAAATCAAAAATGTTCAAACTAGAGTAGCGAATGATAAATAAACGATTGAAAAGTGAATTCGATAAGTATGATATGAGTGAAAATATATAAATTAAGCATTGAAAATTATAGTGTTATAATAAATAAAGATTTTAGAAATTCCAAAATTTATCCCTCAGCTATCGGATAATTAGACATAGCATAAATCCGTAACTCAAAATCTGAATCAAACCTAACTGAAATGTCTGATTTGTACCAGATTAAAATGTAAAAAAAGAACTGAATAAGTTTTGTATATAGTTGGAAACATATTCGAAACCGAAATGTTTAATTTTAATCGAACCCAAACAGATTAGCCGAAAAATCGAAATATATATGAAGAAATGTCCAAATTAATATGCAATATAAAACTTAAAACATAAATATATATTTCAACTCCATATTATTTTGATATGGTACCTACAAATAAATATTTAAATAATAAATTAATATCTTATATATCAATTATATATAAATAAGCATTTAGACCATCTACAATAATGTTTCATTTTCTACTTTTTACTTTATCTGAAACAATTTTAGATTTAAAATGAAGTAATGAACTAGATTTTGATCCGCACAAGTTTTATTTTCAATTTATATGCATATATATTTATTTTAGATCATTAGTAGTATATATTTTAAATTTTAATTTATATATTTAAATATTTTTATAACTATTTCGAATAAAAAAAATTATAATTTGCATGTTGTAAATAATCAATTGTTTAGAATCGTTACATATTTGTTACTTTTTATTATATATTTAGTTTATTGTATATAAATAGGGCTATGGAATATATATTTCAAATTAATTTTCACAAATATAAAAGGTTAAATAAATTATACATCACAAAACAAAAAATAATTTTGCACCTTTTATTCATAAATGCAAGATCAAAAACTAAATTATGCACTTATAAAATAAATTAAAATAAAATTTTAATAATTTGTTCTCATCTAATTTCAGTTATTTTAACTAAAATAGTTAATGGCGTGAGCCATAATTTTCAATAAACTCAAACATTCAGTGCACCTCAAAAATATATAACATATAAAATTATATTTTCTATTAAAAATTATTAAACAAAACTAAACTCGCACTTTAAAATCATGTATGGGGCCTGCGGGTGTCTTTTAGAAAACGTGGATGGATTTTATTTCAGAATATTGAGGGTTTTTGTTTTCTCCGAGAAAAACGACTTCTTCTCAGGTTTGTCCTCTCCCCTGATCGATTTGGGTGAAATTGATTTGCTGATGTAAAAGCTTCTGTGCAGATGGCGACTCCGAAGCGCCTCAATTCCTCCGATACTTGTTATCTGCACAAGTCTCCATCAGACCAAGTTTCGACGAAGAAGAAGAGCAAGAAGAAGAAAGTGGCTTCTCCTGTGATCAAACGGATCTGGAACGAGGACGACGAGCTCTCTATCCTAAAGGTTTCATTTCATCATCTCTATCTTAAAGTTCAGATCCTCCTCTCACTCTCTCTCTCTCTCTCGCTTTGGATTTAGGGTTTAGTGGATTACAGAGTGAAGACACGGCACGATTCAAGTTTCGATTGGGATGGTTTCTTCCGTTTCGTGCAAGGTTCCATCCGTGTCAAATTCTCCAAGGAGCAGCTTTTTAGTAAGGTTAGGAAGTTGAGAAGGAAGTTCGTTGTTCACAGTGAGAGAATCGATCGAGGCGAAGATCCGCTCTTCACTAGGCTTACTGACTCTCAAGCCTTTGGATACTCCAACATGATCTGGGGCCTAACCCCAGCTCCTAACGAAGGCACTGAGAAAGCACAAGAAGAGGTGAAAGATTCATCATTTTTTTTTGCTAATAACAGTTCTTGATTTACAAAAGATTCATCATGTTATTGAGTTTGCTGATGAATCAGGAAAATGAACAAATGGATAATGCTGCTGGACATGTGAATGGCAATGATGGCAAAGAATCTGAATTTGCTAATGGAGGCATGGAGAACGTAATGCAGATCGAGAATGACGTAAGTGGCTGAGTTTTTTTTGTTTTTGCCAAGTCAAAAGTATTGGTAGATGGGTGGTAGTAACTTTGTTTTGATGAATCAGGAGAATGGGCGAGTGGGTAAGGATGAACTTGTTAATGAAAACGAGGCGGAGAAAGCTCTTCATGAAGTGGGTGCTGACAAAACGACCGAGTACAAGACTGACGGGAAAGAGAGTCATGATGATGAGTTACGCTTTGTGGAGGATTCGTTTGAGGCCACGATTTTGCAAGGTTTAAGTGATTGGCAGAGGAAGTTACAGCTTAAGAAGCTGATGATGAACCTTGGAATGGGTGAAAGAAGAGAGTTGAGCAATGAATGGAAAGCATTATGTTCTGAGGAAGTAAAATTGAAAATCAAGAAGCTTAGGTTTGCCGCAAAGCTTGTGGAGGCAGCAAATGATGGATGAAACTAGGCAATTGCATCATTTTTTGTTGTAATGGTGTTGTTTAGTTAGAAAGTTGATAGTACGTATTACTATAAGTTTTAGTCGGTTACATCTGGTTCTCGTCTCCAGCTTATTAAAAGTTTTTACTATGTGAACCATATTCAAAAAGGTTTACAAAAAATCAAGAAGCTTAGGTTTGCAGAAAAGCTTGTAGAGCAAATGATGGATGAAACTACGCAATTGCATCATTTTTGTTGTTGTAATGGTGTTGTTTAGTTAGAAAGTTGGTAGTACGTATTACTAGGGGTGGGCGTTCGGATAGCCATTCGGGTTCGGTTCGAGTTCGGATAACCCATTTAAATTATTTTAAAATTTTAAAATTGATTATATACATTGAATTTCTAAAATACTATAAACAAAATATTCCCTATGTTCCTAAAAGATAGACTTTCTAATGTTTTCACATATATTAAGAAAACACATTAAATCACTATCGTTTTCAGTAATTTTCAATTTTCAACAACTTTTAGCCAATAATAATCTAATAAAATCAATTAATTTTTTTGAAACTTGTAATTTTCTCCTAGAAAACATAGAATATACATCTTTTTGAAACAAAATATTTTTTCAGAACATGGATCTTTTAGAAACAGATGGAGTAATATTTTACAAATAATTGAATAATATAAGTCAAAATACTTATTAACATATAAATTAGTTTGATTTGAATATTTAGATTGTGAATCAATAATTTTTAAAGTATGTTTGATATTTTGAGTGTATTTTAGCAATTTTAGACATGTATGTTTGACTATTTACATATATTTACAAGTATTTTGAACAACTTCAAATTATTTTATATATATTGAATGGTTTTTTTTATCTACATTAAATCTAAAAATAATTGATATATATAGGTATATAAATCTCTTTCGGATATATTCGGATATCCGAAATACTGTGGTTCGGGTCGGATTTGGTTTCGGTTCCTTAAATACCAAAATTTTGAACCTATTCGGATGTTGAATCAATTTTGGTTCGGGTTCGATACTACTTTTTCGGTTCGGGTTCGGTTTGGTTCTTCGGATCCGAGTTTTTGCCCAACCCTACGTATTACTATCAGTCTTAGTCAGTTGCATCTGGTTCTTGTCTCCAGCTTATTAAAAGTTTTACTATGTGAATTATTACCCTATTCAGAGCGGTATACAAAGTGCGTTAAATCACTCAAAAATGTATAGAGAACCAATTTTATATGTAATACTCCATCCGTTTCGAATTAATTGTCATTTTGGGGGAAAAAATCGTTTCAAAATAAGTGTCGTTTTAGAGTTTCGAGATAAAATTTATTAGTTTTATATAATATTCTATATTTCTATTGGTTGAAAAGTGATTAGGTGTATAGGTAATTGTGTTTTTTTCTTGAAAATATGTAAAATTAAATGTTTCATTAATCTGTGTGCAAAAACGTATAATGACAATTAAAATGAAACAGAGGGAGTAATACATTTTCTAGGTTTCTTAAGGCATCCAGTCAGCATTTTTCGGGTCCTATACATTTATTTTTTAATTGTATAAAATTTTGTCACAATATTTTTTTGATAATGAATAAGAACATTGCTGAGTGGTCTAATCTGCCAAACTAAATGTTTGCTCTGCAAGTGTATGGGTTCGAATCCTACAGTCCCCATGTTTTTTAAAGCATTCATTTGTTGGGTAATTTTTTATATAGACCTAAAAAGTGTCTTATTATAATATAGATTTCTCTTTTTTTAACATGGGCTTCGACATTTTCTTTTTGTACTATTTCTAATTTGGTCTCACCATATTTGGCCCGAAAACAAACTTATGGCCGACTTCTGATTTATGTCTTCGTGGACTTTGCATTTGGCCTGATACTGGGTAATCGTATTTGTCGCGAGTTTTAGTTTTCTGATAGCTTTTCCTCTTCTTTCGTCAAGCCACATGTGTCTTTTCAATAAGATCAAATTATTTTATTCCCCTCTTCATTATTAATTTCCCTATAACTTCTCAAGAGTTTCGTAACAAAAAAAAGAGGACGATTATAAATAGTAGAGTCGTCAACACCGAGATCTACATCTCATACCCTTATTCAGCCTTTCTCATCTCTCCAAGTTATTCCAATAGTGTCTACCACCGGCAATGCTCTCGCTTCTCTATCCTTGGTTCACGATGGCAAGTTTGGTGATTTTTGTCTTAGATGTTTGGGTGGTACGGCTCCGTTTGATATGTAAGCCCAATATTCACGATTCCAGTTTCGTGAAAAGGTTTGTGTATTTAATCCTCCAGCTCTGTCGTTGTCAAAACTTGATATCATGTAATTTAGGATCTTAATTTATTTCACTTTTGTAATTGTTTGTAAAAAATAATTGAAAATAGTATTTGTTCGTATGATTTGTAGTAAGTATTATCATATATTTATCATCATTAATTTGATTTGGCAGATTGCATGCAAGACAAGAGAATCTTAACATTTCCAACATGTATGTCTGATTACTTCTTCAAAGGTCTCTTAAGCACTAGTGCTAACAACTCTTAAAACTGTAAAAAGTTTACCTTATCAAAAAAAAAAAATTCCAATATTTAGTTACAAAATCAACTCCATGAACTTTTTAAAAGAAAACTTATTAACTGTTTATATATGTTGTTAAAATTGGAAAATAAAAAAAATTACTTTCACTAACACAGTTTCATTAGTATAATTACAACTTACAAAGTTCGGTAAACTATGATTATAAGATTAATACTACACTAAATGGTCGACCGAATCATTATAAATATTAGATATTCAACTAACCTCAAATATAAGTTCACTATAAATACTTATATTGTCTTAAGTAAGAATTGTGATTTCCAATAGTTCTTTCGATCATCATAGACACATGACAACCAACAAATTGCTCAATAACACAAGATTTAACAACAAAACTAAAGAAAAAATACCAAAAACAAAAACATCAAAAACGTCTCTGACCCCGCGCTTGCATGGGGACCATGCAACTAATACTATTAAAAGAAAATCAAGTTTAGGTTAGACAATTTCATTAATTTAGCTTTTGTTATTTTGCATATAACAAACTTCATCATTATTAAAAATTCACATAATATTAACATATTATTTATATATTTCAAAATAAGATATCAATAGATATTGTCAGGTATCTTTTATAATATTTCATTTTAACAATATCTTTTTATTTAAAATATAGATATTTATTATTTATATTTATTTTAAATAATGAAAATTAATAATATTTTAAAATAATTATATAAAATGAGTATTAATTAATAAAATAAAATAGCATTTTTGTGTGTTTTGGTGGGGAAATATGATTCTGAGGTCTTAGCATGAAAACATAATTTTATGTTTTTAGCAAGAAAAAAGATTTTACAGTATTACCGAAAAATATGATTTTACGGTTTTGGCGAAAAAGCGTGATCTTGTTGTTTTGATCGGAAATTATGATTTTGCAGTTGTGGAGAAGTACAATTTTTTAGTTTAGGCGAGAAAACATGATTTTATGTTTTTGATGGTAGAAAATGATTTTCAGTTGATGAGAAATTATAATTTTATTGTTCTTGGGCACTTTAGGTTAAGAGAAATTAGGTCTAATATATATACTAAAAACTAAATTTGCTATCTATCCAAAATTTCTCCCTCTCTCCTGTTTTCTCTTTCTATCTCTCTCTACTTTCTATCTTAAAATCTAATTACAAGTTTTTTCTAAGTTATTTCACAAAATCACCCTTAGGTTAATGATTAGGCCCTATTAATGTACCGAGACGGTGAGAGAGTTTGTCAAGACGCAAGCCGCAATTGTTTAACTGGTAAAACGCAAGCCGCAATAATACCAAAGTTTTTCACTCGTTCGGTTTGGTAATATTATCAAACTAGGTGTTTTGCCCGCATTTGCGGGCATAATTCTCTTACGAATATTTATTAGTTGATGTTTCATTAATTTATTACTTATGTTTTCAAAAATTACTAATCAAACATCAAATAATTATAAATGACAAAACTAAAACATCAAAAATATTTAAAATAATATATTTCTATAATTGTTTTGCTTGATTTATATTTAATTATAATATTTATACCATTTTTTTTACTTAATTCATATTTAAATTTCTAGTAGAAAAATATATTTTCAAGATAACAACATATTACATAAGAATTATCTTATTTTAGAAAAATATAAAATTATTAATATAAATTTGTTTTAGTTATATAATAAATATAATAATTTTTATATCTTAATTAAAATTTTAAGTTTTATATATAAAAATATAGTTCAAGATAACAACATAATTCACAAGAATTATCTTCTTTTCTAAAAATATGTTATATTCATATAAATTCGTTTTTATTAAACAATAAGTTATATATGAAATTTTTAAAATAAGGTGAATAATCAAATTTACCTAAAATTAAGGAGAAGTTGACAACTAAGCAAAATTACTTCTTAAATAATGTTATAGGTAAAGAAAATCTCTTAAAGACTTTTATTGTGAAACTTGGCACATTATTCTCAACAAAATTAATTGGAGACAATAAAATTAAATATTAGTAATCGGTGTAATTATTAATTCCATAATAAAATAGATATCGAATGTTTCTTTGTGAACCAAACATAAGATTGTGATGAAATTAGATAAACTAGAAAATTAGAAATTATACACAAACCTGATCAGAAGAGGATTAGAGATTTTTAAACGTGATTCTTTCCTTATCCAGATTAGAGATGAATCTTAGTTAAACGGTTTAGATCAATAAAAAAAAGGAAATAATGTAGAAAGGAAAATCGTAAAAAAATAGGAAAAAAATAGGATCTGTAAAACACTATAAAAGGAGGGTCACGGTGTTCTGTTTTGTTTCATTCATCAACGCTTTCTCATTCAACTAGCTTAAGATCTGTACTTGCTTCGATATCATACGTACTTGTGATCATCCCTCAGGTTCAACTTCGGTAGATATATAATGGCGACAAGAAGAAGAATCTTCAGCTTCGTGTTCGTAATGATGATGATGAGCTTCACGGTTTCTTCTGGTAACTGCTCACCAAAGATCTACAAAGTGGGAGACTCCGAGGGATGGACTGCCAAGGACGATGTCTACTACGCTTGGGCCGAGACTGACCATAAAGAGTTCCACGTGGGAGATTCTCTCGTCTTCGAATACGATCCCAACATCAGCGACGTCGCTCAAGTTCCTGGCGCTCTGGAATATGAGTTTTGCGACTATTCTTCTCCTGAAGCCGTCTACAGCACGGGACACGATGTCGTGACTCTCACGGAACCAGGTTTTCACTATTTCATCACCTCAAATCAAGCTCAATGTGCTCTGGGACAGAAGCTCGAAGTTCTTGTCATCCACGACCCCTCACGTCCCGTTCCTCCACCGACACCTAGCAAGAACCTTCCTGTCGGAAACACCTACAAGGTCGGAGACTCAAAAGGGTGGAACGTCTTTGACACTAACTTCTATAGCAAGTGGGGTGAGGAGAAACAGTTTCATGTTGGAGATGGTCTGATTTTCGAATACGACAACGAAGCCAGCGACGTCTATGAAATCAGCGGCGATCTAGAATTCATGACATGCGATCCAACGTCTCCTGTAGCTGTGCACAAGACAGGACACGATCTTGTTAGGCTTACTGAACCAGGAGTTCATTATTTCATAACCTCAAACTCGGGTTATTGTGAAGCTGGACTTAAGCTTCGTGTGATGGTGGGACCACAACCAAAAGCTGCTGCTTTCCCTAATTTTCCCAAGAAGGTGGACTTGTCAGCTATGGAGCGCCTCAACAACTGGTTGAAGACTTTCATACCCCAGCCTCATCATTAAACCATTCGTTTTCTTAAATTTGTTTGATATTTGTAACCAGCTTCGAGTTGTTGTTGTCTCTTACCTTGTTTAGCTTCTTTAGTGCTTTGTTTTAAGAGTATTACCAACGTTGTAGAGTTTATTTTGATGAGAAAAAAGTTCAATAAAATTTCATGTTTGCTTTACCATAACTGAAACACAAAACCAACAGACAGATTGCATAGCAAAGATACATTTATAAAACTCGACCAAAACAAGGATGAGAGAGTTTATAGCAATTTCAGTTTACCAACATCACTCCATTATTTTTTTTTAATTTAAATAAAAGACCCTCTTCTTCTTGCATAAATTCCTGCCTGAAAAACCAATAAGAGGTCGAGAATCAATAAAAAGATTTATTAGGGAAGTTGATACTTGATAGTCATTCACCAAGACTAATCTATATATCTTCATGGGAGTGAAATTTTATGTGGAGCTGAACATTTGCTTTCAGCTGTGTAAAAGGCGAGCGCGCTTTCTCCTGGCTTCACCTCAAAAGCAGAAGACATCAGTTAAAAACACACACATTAACAAGTAACACAACACTCTTCTGAAGTATAAACCTCTCTCTGAGTTGGAGTGAACATCCACTGCAACATCAGCATTAAATAGCAGCACTATCACCCTATATTTACAAGACCAACATGATAGAGTACAGTAAGATACCAAGTTTACCATAGACACATATACAAAAAAGAGATGACAGGTTATGATGGGTGTTAAGAGACAGAGGATCATAAAAATACCTCTTTGCATTGAACAGTACCTCCATATCCAGTAGCTTGGTAGAATGTTCTGTACAATGACACAGCCGCGTAAGTTAACCCCATCATGCCAAAGACAACGGCAGTGAGGTAATAAAGCATTTTCTTTTATTTGGTTTCTGTTATCGAGTGAGTAGAATACTGACGATGAGCACCACCAAGTAACATCAATTCAGTAGCTAGCTTACACTTACTACTTACCCGTTGCAAAGTTTCAATTTGAACTCCCTCACAAATGATGTCAGCATTGTAGGAGGTGGATTACATCCCTACATAAAGCCTGTAAGAAAGCATGCTCGGTCCATTAACAGATAGTTTAGAGGCCCAGCTAGCGACCGCATATCGGCTCGGCGTACGACTGCTTTTAGCCGAGCCGAGCCGTTACCCATTTCTGCGACTAACTATCACAAGGAAACGTCTTAACGAGCTTTTGTACCCGAGGCTTTATGTAAGGCCCATTACGAGAAGCCTCTACTGCACACCGACCTAGGTCAAATGGGATGAGGACTTGCTATAAAAAGGGAGTGAGAGACAACAAGAAAGGGATCCGAAATAGAGCACACACACAAGGCAGCTAGAAGTAGGGTTTTCACTCGTTTATACTCTCCGATTTGTACTTTTTCGGCTAACGCTCTCCAAGCTACGCCATGTTCTCCCGTTCATTTCCTTATTTGTAAACTGATAATCATATTTGATTTAATAAAACGCCTTCGAAATAACCCACCTATGAGTTTCGTCTCTCTTTACTAGTTTCCGACCGAACTCGGCTCAAACAAGCATATATACTCTCCTCTTTTATAATTACTCTGTTTATGAAGATTCTAATTACTGACCCAAAGCCCTCTCACACTTCATCACAAATTTTCACTCAGAAAAGAGAAAGAAATTTTGCTTTTTTATTCGTTTACATGAGAAACAAATGGGTAAGAATCAAACAACAAACACCCACTAACATAAGCTTGGGTGAAAACAGAAAGTTAAAAGACTCGTTACAGAGTTAAGACACAAGACAAAAGAGAAGCTTCTTACTATAGGAACAGATTTGAAGCAAGAGCAGCTCCAAGAAGAGCAGCAACAAAGGAAGAAGAAGATGGAGAAGCTGCGTTTTTTGGAGTTTCTTGAGATGGAGTAGGCGTAGCTGCTGGGGGCTCAAGGGCTCCCTCCACAGGTGGAGAAGGAGCGTATTCACCAGAGGGAGCTGGGGCTGGAGATGGAGGTGACGATGTTGTGGTGTTGTTGTTGTTGCCGCTTCTGTCAGCCATGACGATGACCACAAGCTTCTCGTTCTTGTTGCAGTTGTCTTTTTTTCCGCTGATGAAATAGCATGGACCAGAGTTGGTTAGTGCGAAGGAGGTTTTGCCATCGGTGAATTTAGCGGTTGGTGCATCCGTGTTGCAGCTATCGTAAGCTTCTCTTGTGACTTGGAGCACTGAGTCTTGGTTTGGTTGGTAGACGAACACTGCATTTGTATACATGTGTTGTGTCATGTCATAAAAAAAAATATATGAATATGGTTTAGCATGGACTGGATCTGAGATTTCCGGGGCAATAAACATTTAAAAAAACAATTAATATTTTTTTCATAATTTGGAGGCATCCGAGACCAATGTTTGGATGTGCCCAGATCCGGCCTGGTTATTAGTATAGTGTGGAAACTTACGTAGAGAGTCGCCGATTTGGAATCTGCTATGTTCTGCCCATTGACTGTAAACTTGAGAGCCGGTAGGGATGGTCCAGCCTTTTGCACCACCGACCGCAAACTCTCTAGCGTAGGCTTTGTTAACGGTCATGAACAGACACACAAGGCCGAACCCACGAGTTATCATGTTCTTTAGGTTCCTAACCATTTTCTTAAAACGAAAAAGAGAAGTAAAGGCTATGTGCTAGAAAAATGTACGTGGATCTAGTGTGATGAAAGGTTAATGGGTTGATATAAATGTGAGGAGGCTTTTGAGGATATGTTGGAGAGAAGCTTTTTATTGTCTTTCCTCATATTCTAAGCAAAGCATAGATACCTGCTTTCAAGAAGTGTTTCAGATTTGGTATCTCATGTGACTTGCTTCTTCTGTCAATAACTTTTGTTTCTTGTTTCTGCATTCTTTTATTGTGTGTGTGTTTTTAGCACCAGAATTTTCAGAGATGAAGCTTGTAATTTCCCCTGAAACCACAATATGTAATATTAGTTTCGTCTCAGCGGTCACTCGAAACCGAGGATCTCTAACACAATGGCTAGGGTCATTTTCATTTGAGTTAATAAACTGGTTTATTGTCTATTTTAATACGTATATATCTAATAAGAAAAGAGTTCAAATTAAAAAAAAAAAAAAACTAAAATCTTCTTCATGACAAAAAGAAGATGATATTGTTCTGAGCTTCTGGGATTGCCAGTTGAAAGCGCAATATTAGTAGTACAGAAACTAGAACACACAGTAATTCAAGAGTTGTCTTTTCCAAGAAAAATACGACTAGATAAATCCTTTTAAAAGCACATACAAGTTCTTTTGAAAAGCAATTCTCAACAAAGCTCAAGAACAACTTGACTTGTTGACTAGTCCAATCAATTCACGACTTACCCTAGTCAGTGAATTGCTTCTAACTCTTAAAGTATTTTGCCTACCTTGCTCGGTTTAACAAAACTCTAACTTGCTAGAATATCACCCAGTGTGTTAGTCGACTACAACCCCGTCGACTCTCTCTTTATACCTAGAGAGAAAACCCTAAAACTACCCAATGGAAACTTTCCATTTTTCTATTTCAGCGAATAAGACAACCTTCTTCTTTTCTTCAACGGTTGCTTATTCTTCACTCCTTTTTCCTTAATGCCCACGCCTTGATAAATATCTTCACATATTTATTAAAGGCTCCTTCCTTTTTCTTGCTCAGCTCTCGACTCTGCATTTCATTTGGTAGTTCATGTCGTGATTCATGAACTACTTCAACTCCGTTCTTGAACTACTTCAGCACTGTCTGCACCATACATCTTCAATCTCCCCCTTTTTAATCTGTGCGTCTCACAAGTACCTGAGATGAATACAACAATGCACACACAGACAAGAACAATCTTGCGAAGCAATTGATGTAAGCAAAAGTACTTAAATATCCAAAATAAAAAGGTTGCATACTTAATACATCTCCGAAAAGATAACACACATAAGTACTCCCCCATAATCTAAAAATTGTCTGAAACTGGAAATCAAAACCAGTTGCAACAAGTGGTGCAACCAGCAAGTACACTGCAAATAGAGTTCTAAAATAACATAAACAACAAAACCGCTCCCCCACAATCTTAGCCTTCATCTCAATCTTCTCCCCTTGCTTGTGAGCACACAGGTTAAAAACACAAATTAAGATGTAAACAGACTCAATCAAAGTAAGAAGAAGACTAACCAGAAACAGAACGAGAGAGATCAGCGACAATATCAGTCAACGCTCGCAGAGCTGCAGCCGTGTCCTGAAGCGCCTCTTGAAGCTCTTCCTGAGTAATCAGACCTTGAGGAACCTTGATAGTGCCCAGATCAACCAAAGAAACCCTTCGAGGACCAGTCTTGCCACTTGGAGTAGATGGTGTTGGAGCAGTAGGAGGTCGAGTTGCACGAGCAGAGGTACGAACCTCCAGTGGTGGAGTAACCTTTCCCTTACCTTTTGCCTTAGCTCTAAGAAGCTCATAGTTCTCTCCAACACGCTTGTCCTTTTTGTAGGGCACAGGACGCACAGGTTTCTCACCAGTCTTTGGCTGAAGAAGGTGTTGCTTCTGAAGAATTCCCATAATGAGGCGCGGAAAAATCAACCATCAAGAGTCATTGCGCTGAATAACTCCCAAATTCATTATCAGCTTGAAGATCAAGTTCCCCAAATCAATCTTCACACCATGCGCCATCTTGTAAATCAGCTTGGCCCTATCCACTGACACATGTGTCTTGTGAGTAGAGGGAATCCAATTATGTGCTGCAATGATCATCAAGGCCCCATAACGAGGAGAGAGATCAGTGGTGGTCAAGCTAGCCCATGTCTTCTTGGTCTTCTCGGTTAAGAACTCAGCCAGCTCAGTGACAGTGACTGCATCCATTGTTTCTTCCATGTCAGCTTCTTCCTCAGACAAAGGCTCAAGACCGAGATACTCATTAATGACTGAGGCAGAAAACTGATACACCTAGCCTCGGACTTGTACCTCAACCTGTCCTTCAGCATCTTCAATTTTAACATTCGGTAGGCCTGCATAAAATTCAGCCACCACCTGCTCAACATAACTCACAAGAGATGTCACAGTCGTCACCATGCCGCCCTTTTTGATGACCTCAACATACCCCCATTGATCCGGTTCCTCCACATCTACACTACGTTCAGCTATAACACTACGACCCGCAAACTGATCATACCTTATCTTTGACTCTGGTGTAGTAGCTGAAGCACGGAGATCTCCCTTCTTCCTAGATTTGAGACGAGCAGAGACAGTGGCTTCCTTGGGGAGGCTAGGAGGGTTCGCAGCAGTCTGAGATGGCGTAGGAGTATTGTCTTCTCCAGTCTTGGTTTTCTTAGAACCCGGAAGACCCAGCCTTTGAAGAATTCGCTTCTTCCTTGCTTTGATTGGTGGGGTTCCTTCAGATGCCGAGCTCAACTCCACCGCCTCTTCGGCTGTCTGAGTAACTGCCAAGGGCAGATTCTCCGGATCTTGAGATCCTTCGTTTTGTTCCTCTGCTTCTTTCTCTTCTGAGCCGGAATCGGTGTGAGTCGCACCTGGGGAAGATGCAATAGGAGAGACTGGAGTTTTGGGAATGGTGTCTTCTGGGGCAGTTGATGACGCAGGTACATGAGATGTGTCCAAAGTCGAGTCCTTTTGTTGTGATGTGCCCTGATGCTCATCACTCTCCTCCGATTGAGCCTTCTCATTGGCTGTGTTAAAGGACTCAAGCTCCTCGGTGACCTCAAGAATAGCCGTCAAGGTTGTCGGATTGTTAAGAGGAGGAGGTGATTCATCTTCTCCGTCAGCAAGTTGAAGTCGATCTGGCTCAGGAGTGACATGCACGGGTGGATTTGCTGAGGAAGATGCTGCAGTAGATAGTGACACAGAATTCTGCTTCTTGCTCATCCATGATATGAGATTGTGACCCAAAAAGAAACATCCTCCACTTGTACTCTTCCTATCATCAGCACATCCTGCCCAGTCAGCATCACAGTATCCTACCAGATTCTTGTTGGAGTTCTTGGCGAATTGTATTCCAAGGCTTTCAGTTCCCTTGACATACTTCACGATCCGCTTGACTGCATTCAAATGTGACACTTTCGGTTTGGCTTGATATCTTGCACATACTCCCACACTGAAGGATAGATCTGGTCTACTGGCTGTCAGATATAGTAGACTTCCAATCATCCCTCTGTACACGGTTGGATCAACATCTTCACCAGCCTCATCTCGTGCAAGTTTCAATGAAGTACTCATTGGAGTAGATGCGACTTTGCTGTTTTCAAGTCCGAACCTCTTGACTAGATTGTTGGCATATGCACTTTGTGAGATGAACACCCCTTTCTCGGACTGAGTTACTTGAAGCCCCAAGAAATACTTAAGCTCTCCACACATACTCATCTCGAATTCATCAGTCATACTCTTCACGAATTCATCCACCATTGATTGTGAAGTGCTTCCAAAGATAATGTCGTCCACGTAAATCTGAACAATGATGATGTTCTTCTCTTTTTCCATAAAAAACAGTGTCTTGTCTACACTACCCCTTATGTATCCTCCTTCTACTAGAAAGCTGGTAAGACGCTCATACCATGCTCGAGGTGCCTGCTTGAGACCATACAACGCTTTCTTCAACTTGTAGACATGTTGCGGATGTGTGTGATCTTCAAAACCCTTTGGCTGCTCCACATAGACCTCCTCTTGCAGAATTCCATTCAAGAAAGCACTCTTTACATCCATCTGGTATACTTTGAAGTTCAGGATACAAGCCATTCCTAAGAAAAGCCTGATGGACTCAAGACGAGCCACTGGTGCAAATGTTTCTTCAAAGTCTACCCCCTCAACCTGTGAGTATCCTTGTGCCACCAATCGTGCTTTATTACGAACCACTTCTCCATGCTCATCAGTCTTGTTTTTGAAAATCCATCTAGTTCCCACGACATTTACTCCTTCTGGTCTGGGAACAAGTTCCCACACATCATTCCTTACAAACTGCTCCAGTTCCTCCTCCATTGCCACAATCCAGTACTCGTCACGTAGTGCCTCATTGTGTGTCTTTGGTTCAATGGAAGATACAAAGCAAGCAAACTGGACCATTTCTCGAAAGTTTATCACCTTGCCGCGAGTCTTTCGTCCCTCATCTAACCCTCCAATCACATCGTCAGCAGAATGATTACGATGTACTTGCTGAAGTACTTCAGTTTGTGCAGCACCTTCTGATTCAGTGATCTCGGGTATTACCTCTTTCGTTCTGGTCTCTGACGTTTCTGTTTCTTCATCAGATTCATTGTCATCCCAGCTGATCACCGACAAGTCATCAAATACCACATTCACTGACTCCATAACCATGGCTGATCGCTTGTTGAACACTCGATATGCTGTACTAGTTCCCGAATACCCAAGGAAGATGCCTTCATCACTTCTTGAATCAAACTTTCCTAAGTAGTCCTTGTCATTCAAGATATAGCACCTGCAACCAAAGACATGAAAATAACCAAGGTTAGGTGTTTTACCAGTCCACATTTCATAAGGAGTTTTCGTGGTCCCTTTTCTCACATACACCCTATTGATGATGTAACATGCAGTACTCAGTGCCTCAGCCCAGAACCTTTGAGGTATCTTGTTACCATGTATCATCGCCNCACCTGCAACCAAAGACATGAAAATAACCAAGGTTAGGTGTTTTACCAGTCCACATTTCATAAGGAGTTTTCGTGGTCCCTTTTCTCACATACACCCTATTGATGATGTAACATGCAGTACTCAGTGCCTCAGCCCAGAACCTTTGAGGTATCTTGTTACCATGTATCATCGCCCTGCCCATCTCTTGCAATGTCCTATGCTTTCGCTCTACTACACCGTTTTGTTGTGGTGTCCTGGGAGCTGAGAACTGATGAGCTATTCCTTTTGTCTCACAAAATTGCGTCATTGATTCGTTCTGAAACTCTCCTCCATGATCGCTGCGTATCTTCTTGATTCCTCCTTTCTCATTGATCAACTGTAGTGCCCAAATTTTGAAGCTTTCCACCGTTTATGACTTCTCTCTGATGAATCTGACCCATGTGAATCGTGTGAAGTCATCAACTAGTACAAACACATACTTCTTCCCTCCAATACTGTCGGTTTGCATTGGTCCCATTAGATCCATGTGAACTAGATCCAAGGGGGCCAACGTTTGTACATCCGATACCTTCTTGTGTTGTACCTTTACTTGTTTCCCTTTATTACAAGCTCCACACACGATCTTCTCTTTTATCTGAAGTTGAGGTACTCCACGAATCATTTTCTTGTTGACTAGAGTTGCCATGTTACGCAGATTCATGTGGCCTAGAAGTTGATGCCAGAGTTCAACATTGTCTTGTGAGGATTGAGCAGAGAAGGCATTCATACACTTAGTCTTCTTTTCCCACATGTAGCAGTTGTTGCCAGCTCTTATCCCTTGTATGACTGTTACCCCATGCTTGTTGATGGCTCGACATTCTGTAGCTGTGAATAGCACTGTAAGGCCTTCATCACATAGTTGACTTACGCTGATCAAATTCGCCTTCAGACCTTTGACAAAGTATACATTCACCAGCTTGGGTAATTCAATGTCGTTTGTAGCACCTTTCCCCTTGATTGATCCTTGTCCTCCATCACCAAACGTGACCTTTCCACCTTTTACCCTCTTCAAGTTATCTAGGTACTCAGCATTACCTGTCATGTGCCTTGAGCAACCACTATCAAAGTACCAAGGTTCTTCTGCATCATCATCCTCCGTAACCAAGGCCATGCTACATCTTGAGCCTGATCCTGTATTAATTGGAGAATACAGGTCTGACTTCCTCATCCATGCTAGAAGTTGTGTTCCCAACTCTCCAGAACTTCCGTTGATTCCACAATTGTCTGATCTTCCCAAGATATCTCTGACAAAACCTTTTGTAATGACCCATCTTCCCACAAAAATGGCATCCAGCTGTTTGTCTTGATGAACTTCATGTCTCAGTTTCTTTGGAGTGAACAAACCCTCCAGACACAAAACTAGTTATGCCTGTGGCATTACTCGATCTTCCAGTGTATCCAAGTCCCATGTGAGAATTCTCTGTTCTGCCTTGAGACAAGATCTTGTCTAGCTGCTTAGTATCTGTTAGCATCTTGATCTTCTTGTATTGCTGATCTAACTCCGATTGTAGTTCCATGGTGATTTTCTTTTCAGCCATCACTTCATGTCTGAGATCTTCAGCTTGTTTGGCAAGAATTAGCTTTTCTTTCATTAGATTCACACTCTCTTTGGCTAGCTCAGTTTCCTGTTGGAGTTCCAGACGAACCTTTTCCAATTCTGCCTCAAGACTTTCCTTAGCTTTTGCAAGTGCTTGATTCTCAGCTCCAAGTCTTAGTACTGTCTCGCGAATTTCTCGATAGCTTTCAGTTAGTTCTTTCTCTGATTCACTTTCACTTTCTGAGTCAGACACGAATTATGTGATGCCCAAAAATGCCACAAAGTTGTTCAGCTCTTCTTCACTATCGCTGTCGGAGTCGCTGTCATCGATCCCAATTAGCGATTTCTCTTTCTTCTTCTTGCTGTCCGTCTCGCATTCAGCTTGAGTATGACCAAATCCTTTGCATCCAAAGCATTGAAACTCTCTTCTTTTTACTGTGGGGCAATCAGTTCGCACATGGCCATATCCCTTACACTCATAACACTTTACGTCTGACTTCTTGACACTCTTCTCAGCTTCAGCAGATTTGGATTTTGAACCGAACTTCTTGTAGGATTGTCCTTGCTCTACTTTTCTGAGCGCTCTATCAAATCTTCTCACAAGTAAGCTCAATGGATCATCACCTGCTTCATCCTTTTCAACAGATGCTAGTGCAATTCCCTTGACCTTCTTTCCACTGTCTAACTCCATCTCATGAGCTTGCATCATGCCCACTACCTCATCAAAGCTTATGTCATCAGTGTTGAGAGCTACCTCCATGGCTGATTTGTGACCTCTGAACCTTTCGGGAAGGCACCTCAGGAACTTCTTCACCAGTTTCTTTTCTTTGTATTTTTTCCCAAGTGTGAGTGCTTCTTGTGACAATGAGCTTAGCTTGGAACTGAAATCAGCAATTGATTCATTCTCGTCCATCTTCAGATCTTCAAAACGGGTATCCAACATGTCTCTTCTTGAGCTTAACACTTTCGTAGTTCCCTCAAAGTGCCTCTGAAGAATATCCCATGCTTCTTTTGCTGACTCACATCCCTGAATCAACTCAAACTGCTTCCTCGCAACACTGCAGTGGATGGCTGTGAGTGCTCTTGCATTGAACTTGGCAAACTTGTTCTCATTTTCAGTCCACAGTTCTTCGGGTTTTGGTACATCTTTACCATCTTCACCTCTCGCAACAAGATGCTTCCACCCAGACTCAACTGCCTTCCATGCAAGTGGGTCAATACCTTTGATCGTCGCCTTCATTCTGGCTTTCCAGAACCCATAGTTTCCTACTTCCAAGATCACCTTGGAGTGCGCCACCAACTCTTTGAAGTTGTCCATTCCGCAGGATCCTTACCTGTTTAAGAAAACACAAGTACCCGCTCTGATACCAATTGAAAGCGCAATATTAGTAGTACAGAAACTAGAACACACAGTAATTCAAGNCTCTGATACCAATTGAAAGCGCAATATTAGTAGTACAGAAACTAGAACACACAGTAATTCAAGAGTTGTCTTTTCCAAGAAAAATACGACTAGATAAATCCTTTTAAAAGCACATACAAGTTCTTTTGAAAAGCAATTCTCAACAAAGCTCAAGAACAACTTGACTTGTTGACTAGTCCAATCAATTCACGACTTACCCTAGTCAGTGAATTGCTTCTAACTCTTAAAGTATTTTGCCTACCTTGCTCGGTTTAACAAAACTCTAACTTGCTAGAATATCACCCAGTGTGTTAGTCGACTACAACCCCGTCGACTCTCTCTTTATACCTAGAGAGAAAACCCTAAAACTACCCAATGGAAACTTTCCATTTTTATATTTCAGCGAATAAGACAACCTTCTTCTTTTCTTCAACGGTTGCTTATTCTTCACTCCTTTTTCCTTAATGCCCACGCCTTGATAAATATCTTCACATCTTTATTAAAGGCTCCTTCCTTTTTCTTGCTCAGCTCTCGACTCTGCATTTCATTTGGTAGTTCATGTCGTGATTCATAAACTACTTCAACTCCGTTCTTGAACTACTTCAGCACTGTCTGCACCATACATCTTCACCAGTGAGAACAACAAATGTACACATGAATACTTTTATAGACCAAACAAAAGTATTAATACAACAAGTCAATTTTATGTTCAATATAAGATCAATCATATTACAAAGATCTCTCCACATCTGCTCTTTTTTGATCCTTTCTCTGTTCAGCAACAGCACTAATAACACTAGGTTTAGTTATGTCTTCAGTAATTAATCATCATAGTGCAAAAGCAGCGGCCATAGCGAAAACAAGTGACATCAAGACACTCATACCGCCTCTATGTCCTGAGCTCTTCTTTGGGAAATGTTTTGGAAGCGCACATTCTTCTCCATTAAAGAAAAGCTTTGTCGGAAACCCGTCTCCTTCAGCTATTTTCAAACCATTGATGTTCTTCTTGGTGAAGGAGATAACGGATTGTTGCTTTCCAGGCACGGGAGGGTCTCTTAACGGATGTGTTCCGTTAACTTGACCCACAAGATAGTTCATACCAGGCAACCCTTGGAACATAACAGTTCGGTTGTTTGGTGGAACACGTGTGCCGTTAAAGGAGTAAACGTTTTCATACCCTTTACCTGATTTTCCCATCTCAACCGCCACAAACCAATCCTCAAACGCGAAGTCTCTCCAGTTAAAAACAGTTAACCTAGCGGTCCAACCGTTTCTGTAATCGGTGTTAACGTGCCAGTTAATGCTGACTCCACAGTTATCAGGACATGGGAGCTTCTTAGGTATTGGCATGTGGTTTTGTTTGGCCCAAGCTTTAGCTTTTAGGGTTCTGTTATCGAAGGGGACAAGGAGGGCGTCTGGAGGGAGGAGGAGCGGGTCACGGTCAGCATTGCAAGTGTTGGTGTCGATGTCATTACATCCACAAGCGCAAGTATTACAAGGAATCGCAGAGTTGTTGTAATAAGCAGAGAAAGACACACAACATCTTGAGGCTTGAGCTTTAGGTTTGGTTATGTTGCAGACAACTTGCCAGCTGGATATGGCATAGGTTATAGCCGGTAGACCGCTAGAATCCGGGAACTGTGACGGGTCAACCCGAACCGGTGGCCCGCATTTGTATTGAGGGTTGAGAACTCCATCGATTTTCCAATGCTGAGGTGGGTATAGTGCTGTTCTGTTTAGGTCAGGAGGCAACTTGAAAACCTAACACAACAAAATAAAAACTTCAAAACCTTAAATCTCGGTTGCACAAAACTAAATGTTTTTTTTATATTTCACAAAGATAGATATAATTTAGGTATGTTTTATTATTTAATAATAGTAAATTGTATATTTAAAAGATAAACTGAATTACTATATGTTTAATTTTGTTAAAATAATGTATTCGTAATATAAAATTTTATGTGTGTTTTTAATGAGTGAAACATGAAAAAAATCGATATTTTTTAAAATGAAAAGAGTATTATTTTTCACAAAAAGCAACAGATTATTTACCTGCAGTTGAAACATAGATCGAGATTTGGAAGGATCCATAAGAGGTGGCAAAAGAGTTCCATTTTTGCAACAAAAAGGTAACTTGCCCATCACTTTATCGTCCTTCATCTCAGGAGGCAAGTCAGAAATGGCTGGCTTCTTCTGACAATTCATGACCTGTGAGAAGTCTAAGTCTTTGTAGTACTGTCCAGCTTTGCTGTAAAGACATTCAGATGGATCTCTCTTGTGAGTGTAAGCTCCTCTCATGGTGTTTATAAACTCTCCTCGCATCCATTCAAAAGTCAGGTTCCAGCGGTCTAAGCGCCCGAGTGGACTCTCGTTGTCGATTGTCACTTGGGCTAAGTAGTTGCTGCTGAAGGATTGTAGAACATCGTAGATAATGTTCAGATCACCGTGCCTTCTCGGTGCAAACTTTGTCTTTGGCCCATTCTTGACCTTGAACTTAGGGTTTCTCTTGCAACAAACGTTCATATTTCCTCCTGCGCAAGAAATCCAAACCCACAATTATAAAAATACTCACTCTGTTTCAAATTGTAGGTAGATTTATTTAAAAACACCAATATTAAAATGTGATTACTTGTTAAAAAATATCATTTAATATATAACTTCAACCAATGATAAAAATTTACATCATTTAACTAGTCACACTATATTTATAAATAGAAAAGTTGCATTAAATGTTTAAATTATTTATATTGTGAAATAAAAGGTTTTGCTAAAACTCTTATATTATGAATCAGAGGGAGTAACATTCACTTTTCATCTAAACATTTTTATAAAATGCAAATGTAAAGACGAGATTACGTTTTGCATTCTGTTGATAACTTCCAAAATATATTTGGTTAACAAAAAAAAAAAGAAAAATGTGAATTTTTGTGTGAAAAGTGAAAGTTCCAGATACAGACCCATAATCACAGTCTGATTCGGAGTTAATCTTAAAAATTCTCTTTTAACGGATAACTTTCCATACCAAAAATGGTTATATAGTAAGCTTTTTTTTAAATACTATTAAGCTACCAACACTTTGGTAAAATTCTAAACATTACCTAATATGCACACATAAATTAGTTGTGCTTTATAATTTTTTGTTTTGTGAAAAGTGTTAGTTCCGGACATTAGATCCATATTCAACATCGAATGAAGAGTTAGCCTTAATATTTTCCGATTTAAAGAAAAAATATCATACTAAAAAGGATTTCGAACCCAAAACACAAAGCAACCAACTTCTTTGCACTATCATTTATACAATACTAATACTTTGCTAAAAGGTAAAATGGTGTGTGTGTTAAACGTTAGCAAATAATAATATGTAAACACAAACTAGTTGTTCTTCAAACAATCGAGTCTAGTATGACCTAACCTTTTCTCTTGGCGGCAGGACATTCCCAACCATCGTTGATGAGCTTAAGAGTTTTCGGCATAGGCAAAACGGACTTCGCAACCCCGAAAAGAGTCCCGGTGATTTCGATATTCGTTGCTATCTGAGTAAAATCACCTGCGGTTAAAATAGAGGTTTTCAAATCCGTGTTCGGTGATCCAACGAACGTTGTTCCATTGCTAGCATCCAGAGGAAAATCTCCGTCCATTGGAGCCGCACCAGTGGCAGAAACAATCAGTTCCTTGTGACGAAACCCTATAAACATTTGCCATCCCGTGAGCTCTTCCTTACCCGCGTTTACAATCATTGCAGTCGCTTTAAACGCCCACGATTGCGCGGTCACGTTCTTGACGTGCGGGTACTCTCTTTCTCTGCTGCCGAAGCTGTAGCTCATGAAGATACCATTGCAATGCGCCATCTCTGGCGGCGGCTCGCCTCCTCCTGCTCCGTCTTCGGTCGGTGTTCCATAATCTTGGCCGTTGCATAGGAAAAGAGTTGATGATAACAAAATCAATAGACTTAATGAATAGCGTGCATTCCAAGGAATCTTCATACCCGTTTTAACTTCAATACCCTTCATCGTTTTATTTTCCTTTCTTCCTCACCGCCTTGTGTTACTTGAAACGCAAGGCAGTGGGAGAAAAGAAATAATTCAAGGAATCAACCAAGCCTTTGACAAAGACAAGATGATTGAATTAAACGATTAAGGTTTCAGATTGAAGAAACCTGTAAAAAGATTCAGATCCAATAGCTTTAATTCAAAGCAAGGAAGGTGGTTGGAGAAGAAGAGAGGTTCCTAATAGGTAGTTTTGATATGAGCCTCTGGTTTATTTAGAGGTGAAGCGGAGAGGACATGTAAGAATGCTAATCTTGGAACGTAGGTTCGTATTTGTTCATTAACTAAAAACCGCTTCGATTGTTTTGTGAAATGAAATAAACCCTGGTTGCTGGTTGTTGTTTTCAGAAGTATTTTGATTCTAGTTCGGTTTAACTAAAACGAATAAGGATTTGATACATTTTCAGAATTATTATCAAGTAATTTTTTAAGAACTGCTTACATTAAGTCTTTATAGAAATTTTCAGTTTATATTTGATCCGACAACATGAAATATATGAATTTGCATCGGCATGATGATAGAGTAATGCCATTATAAAACAAACTACTATATATATATATAGTGTTAGCTTAGATGAGTTTCTAACTTAAAACTAATTGACAATAAGTGGATTGCTTCATTTATATTATATATTATTAAGGATCTTTTCTAATTACCAATATAAAATATTTTGTTTTTTATACGTTGAATTTCGAAATGTTCGAGAAATGATCGAAAAGCCACATTGTACCAGATTAATGTGGATCTGACTCTGATACCATGTTAAGGTATATGAGATTTCAATTTCAATTTCATTCAATTGACGATAATTGGATTGTTCATCTATATTAGATATCACTAATGGTCTCTAATATATAGTATATGTTTTAATTTATTGAGATTAAATGCATTATTAACATTTTTAAAATAGCGACAGATTCTTAATATATACTCACTCTCTTTCATAAATAATTTTATTCTGACATTTTTTTCTTGTTGTGTCATTTAGAATTTAAATATAATTAATATTTATTTTAATTAATTTAATTACAAAATGTATTGATCTTATAAATATTGATATTTTTATTACATTTTTAATACATGTCAAAAATGTGAAATTAACATTCTTTGCAAAATGGAGGAAATAATATTTTCTATACAACTCATCTACTTAATTAAAATATAAATCAAAATTAAAATATAATCTTATATATAAAGTTTGATTCTTCAAAGTTACTAATTAACATGATCGCGACACAAGGCGATTATATATTTAAGATTATGACATGTTTTAAATAACAATTTTTCTTTTAAAAAGTTAAACCAAAAGAATGTAATAGCTAGTTTTACTTTTAAAAATCGTAAACATAAAATTTAAAAGTTAGTTTCCATTTTTTTTAAACAATCTTAAACAAAAGTTTTAAGAAATGAATTTCCATAGAAATAATATTTAATAATAGTATTTCTTTAAAAAATTACTAATTAAGATGATTATGAAACATGAAAATTATATATTTAAGATTATGAAATGTGTTAAAAACATGTTTTATTTTTTATTTTTTTTAAAACGTAAACCAAAAGAATATAAACCAATCTAAAAAGTTAATTTTCCTTTTTTAAATTATTATAGAAACAATGTTTTCTAATATTTCCATATAAATAAATTTTTAACAATGGTATTTCTTTTTTAAAACATGGGTTTAAGATAATTACAAGCGTGGTTTTTCAAAGTTGCTAATTAATTTGACTGCGATACATGGCAATTATATATTTAAGATTATGATATTTGTTAAATATCAGTTTTTTAAGAAATAACTTAAACCAAAAGAATGTAAAAAAAATATAATTTTCCTTTTTAAAAATTCTTAAACAAACAACGTTTTTAATATTTCCATATAAATAAAATTTTAACAATATCATTTATTTTTAAAACATGGTCTAAGATAATTAAAACTAAACGTTATTTTAAGATAAATTTCTGTACAAATTAAATTATTTACAAAATATTTTTCTTATAAATATTTAATATTATTTTTCCTGTTAAAAATATTATACTAAAGAGAATTATAATATTTTAGATGAATATAGCTAAATGTGAATACATATAAAGAAGGTAGAAGTGTTGGATATAGAAATTTTTTCATATAAAGAAAATTTAACAAAAATATTTCTTTTTTAAAACATAGGTTTAAGATAATTACAAATTTAGTTTTTTGAAGTTGCTAATTAGCATAATCCTGACACATTACAGTTATATATTTAAGATCAATGCATATATTAAATAACAGTTTTTAATTTAATAAAAAACATAAACGAAAAGAATATAAAAATAATCTAGAACGTTAATTTCCCCTTTTTAAAACCAAAAGAGAATTTTTATTATATTTATTTTTAAATCCTGAAAAAATATAATTATATAGTTTAATTAATTAATAATTTTTATTTTTAAGAAGTTGATGATAAACATAATACTAAAGCCAGTTTAACTAAAAAATAAATTGTAAAATATGTAGAAATATGAAAAATTCCACTTTTACAAAACTATTTGATATTTACTGAAATATTTTTTTACTAATAATTTATTTTAAATCCTAATCAAAATATAATTGTAAAAAATTGTGTATAGTAATTTACCTTTTCTAAAATCATAAAAAGAAAACATAAGAAATATTGTTTTGTTTTTGTAATAATAATTTTACTTTTGTAAATCCTAAAAAAAAAGACATTTGTATTATATTTTTTGACACATGTCATTATATAAAGCTTGGTTTTCCAAGTTGCTAATTAATATGATCAGGGATATATGACGATTATATATTTAAGATTATGACATGTGTTAAATAATAGTTTTAAAAAAACTTTAACAAAAATAATTTAAAGTTAGTTTTCCTTTTTTAAAGAAAATAAACAAAAAACTTTCTTATTATATAAAGATTGGTTTTCGAATTTGTTAACTAACATGATTACGACACATGAAAAGTATATATTTAATATTATGAAATGTGTTAAAGAACAGTCTTTTTAAAGAAAAACTTTGACTAATATAATTTAAAAGTTAATTTTCCTTTTAGAAAAACTGTAAAACATTATATTTCCATATAAATATTATTATTTAATAATATATATTTTTATTATGCGGGTTTAGGATGTTTTCATGTTTGGGTTTTATATGTGTTTGGTCATACGGAAATCAAACACATATCTAATATTTTTTAGGTGTTTGGTCATTAAAAATTTATTATTACTATTTTTATTATTATTATTGTCTCCCTATAACGAATCTTTATATGTATTTGGTAAAAATAACCCAATTTCCTACATTAGTTTATTAAATTTTTAAATTTAACTATGCAATATTTTCTTATACTTCATTTTTATTTTAAGTTGTTATAATGGATATGTAGCATCAAGAAATAATGAATTCAAAAAAAAAAAATAAACTGAACCAATTTAATAAAAGAATGTCTTTATTTTTACTATAAAGTGAGAATAAAATTATTTTTAAAATAATAGATAAGGAATAGGAATTTATTTTTATATTTTTCCATTATTTAAAATATTATATATATAGTCATAATTATGTAACTAATTTGTTTTAAAGAAAAAAAGTATAATTTAGGTTAGATATATATTTCTTTTTCTTGAAAATGTTATTACTATAAATATGTATCTAGAGTGAAAATATTATAAAGAAAAACGAGAATCCAATATATATCTATATTGAAATTCTTATATTAGAAATGAAGTTAGTATAATGTCTTAATGATTGTGATTTCAGCTTTATTACAACATACACTAAATACGATTTATTATTTATTATAGCTTTGGTCGCTATAAGACTTTAATTAGTAAATTATATTCATAAATAGTTATTTAGACAATAAGGATTCAAAAACATGGTCTTCACAACATACATGTTTGTGGCTACAAGAGTTAAAGTAATATTGAAATGCATAATGTATTAATAGTCTCATTATCTATAGATTACATGATAAAAATGTTGATCCAATGTTTTCCCTTAGTTAAACAAATAAGATAATTTCCAATTCACGTATAGATTCATTAGTATATTTTCTTTTGAAATAGTGAAATTGTATTATAAAGGTAGATTTCTTAATTGTATGATTTTGTAATAAAGTTTTTTTTATTTTTATAGAAATATAGAGTAGGGTTATTCTGTCTCCAAATATATAGATGTAAATCTATTCACTACATTTTCTTTTAAAGTAGATAAAGTCTATAAAGTGCATATATTGTCACCGATCAATTGCCTTGATTCAACTTTCTAATTTGTTGTATTTTACTCTAATTTATATTTTTCCAGGTTAGATTCAATTAAAAATTTCGAGTTTGGATTTTTCTCTATCCCTAAATTAAAATTTCTAATAACTGTTTATGCACTATGATTAGTGAAACATAGCCGACAAAAAAATATTACTAAAACATAAATACTAACCAAAACTTATGTAGAAAAACAAACTTTATTCTTAAAATAAGTTTCACGCAATATATGCAAAAATCTAAGGATTGCAAAAAAAAAATCTCATTTTTATGTTTTTCATAAAATTTAAACATCAATTGAAATACGTGTAACGCACGGATCCATACCTAGTTTTATTATATAAAACTTGGTTCTTCAAAGTTCCTAATTAACATGATTACGACATGTAGCAATAAAAATCATGAGATTGTGACATGTGTCAAAACATTTATCATAAATATAAAATTAATCAATAAAAAATATTTGAAAGTATTTTTTCCCTTTTTAAAATCTTAAATAAAAGATAATTGTAAATAGTTATTTTCAAGTAATTTTCCTTTCTTTTAAAACTCAAATTCCATATTTTAATTCCTACACAAAGAGAATTATAAAATAAAATACTATTTTTCAAAAATATATAAATCAGAAAGAATTATAAATTTTACAATTACTTATAAAAATATTTAATATAATTTTCCTTTTTTGAAACTCTTAAAAAAAAGA